GTAACAATCCAAATAAGAAAACAGCTAAAATTGCGCGAGATACAAACGTAACAAACCAAATAAGAAAACAGCTAAAATAGCAAGAGATAGAAACGTAACGATCGAAATAAGAAGCAGACTTTCGTTGCGCGAGATACGAACGTAACAATGCAAATAAGAAAACAGCTAGAGTTGTGAAAGATAAAAACGTATCGATCCAAATAAGAAAATAGCAAAAGTTGCGGGAGATACAAACGTAACAATCCATATAAGAAGACAGCTTAAGTTATCGAGAGACAAACGTAACAAACCAAGTAAGAAAACAGCTGAAATAGCAAGAGATAGAAACGTAACGATCGAAATAAGAAACAGGCTTTCGTTGCGCGAGATAGAGTTGTGCAAGATACAAACGTAACAATCCAAATAAGAAGACAGCTTGAGTTGCGCGAGATACAAACGTAACAATCCAAACAAGAGGACAGCTGTAGTTGCCCGAGATACAAACGTAACAATCCAAATAAGAGGACAGCTGTAGCTGCCCGAGATACAAACATAACAATCCAAATAAAAAAACAGATAAAGTTGCGCGAGATATAAACGTAACGAATGAAATAAGAGAGGTAAAATTGCGCAAGGTACAAACGTAACGATCGAAATAAGAAAACAGCTAAAATTGCGCGAGATAACGTAACTATCCAAATAGGAAAACAACTAAAGTTGCGCGAGATACAAACATAACGATCCAAATAAGAAGACAGCTTAAGTTGCACGAGATACAAATGTAACAATTGAAATGAGGGAACAGCTGAAGTTTCGCGAGATACTTATGCACTAGTCAGTGGAAAGCCCCGCACCCCCATACCCGGGGAATAGCGGGGCATTAGACCAGGCGTCCCAACTAAATGAAGCAAATTCCCCGCTATGCGGGGCAATTTCTTATGTCAAAACCTCATTTTTGTTCTCCGCCCCCGGGGCAATACTTGAAAAATCCCAAATACACAACGTTGACCAAAATTAATTTATTTCAAGAATTGTGCCTCAAATTTAACTCTTACAAAAACTTTTTCAATGTCTTCATCAAATAGATGAAACAATCATGGCCTCCTCTACTCCTCTTGGTAAGACATAGTTCTGTAAACTTTTCTCTGGA